ATAGCCCAGTAGCCTGGGATGGCTTTGAACTTGCTTCAATTCTTCTGTCTTGCTCGGCCTTCTGAGTGCTGGGATCACAGTGTATGCAGCCTGACACAGTAGCTCTAGCTTTTCCCATCCCCTTGTGCAAGGCTGGACCTAGGGCTGTGTGTGCACTGGGCACTGTAGGCTGAGCTATCGCCTCGATCCGAATCACGCTTTCATATTTTCTATGTTCCGATGTTTTGAATTCTGGGCTAAACCCACTGTTTGAAGGCTATACCACCTCCCAATAGTGGCACCCTGAGCCTAAGCCTTTAATCCCTTTAATCCACATTTTTTTTGGGGGAGACACTCATCTAAAACCCAGTTCCCAAAACTGTCAAATATTTGTGTGGATCTCTCCTCAGAGATTCTGCACCCCGTGTTTACTGAGCGCTGGCTTGATGAGAGGCACAGCTCTGAGTGCTGAAGTCACAGCTCAGCCAGACTGCCACTGTCCTCAAAGAACTCCATGGTCTAATGGGAATAGGTATTTAAGGAATGGAATAATTAACGTTTCAAGAAATATTTTCTAAGAATATTTGTCTGTGGAAAAGGGTTTTTCAATTTTATTATTATTTTTAATGAGTAGAAGCTCTGGTTTCCCATCCTCCCCTGTCACAGGTGATTCGTGGACCAATTTTCCTGTGATGGGGGATGTCGGTGACTCTGCAAACCAGAAGGTCCTGGCCTTTGGACATCCGTGACAGGTGCTGTCAAGCATTGCTGAACAGCCAGGTGTGGTGTTGCAGGCCTGTAATCCCAGCATTGTGAGTTCAGGGCCAACCTGGAAGGTCAGTGAGGCAGTGTCTCCAGAAAAGAAAGGAAGAAAGAACTGCGAAACTGTGTCGGGTACAGTGTCTAGTGCCAAGTTAATAAGAGATTAAGATTAATTAGTAAGATTACCGCCATCGAGCCTAGGAAAGTGTAGGGTTGGATTAAGCTGTGATGCGAAGCGGCTAAGCATCAGCAAGGAAGCACACAAGTTGCTCCCAGGGGTTTATTTCTTTCAGTTGGGGGCACTGAAGGGCAGCAAGGAGAGAAGTGGGTGGGCGGCACAGATGGGGCTGGACAAGCTTCCTCTTAAAGGTATGTGGGCGCTGAGAAGAGGACATGCTCTTCAGACCACACACTTCAGAAGTCCCTGGGTGGACTCCGCTTGCTCTGGGAGGACCTGGGGTCAGTCAGGGCACATCAGATGGCCTGAGAAAGAGATGAACCACCCACTCGTCCCCCTGGCACCTAGCTTGAGCCTTCCAAACTTCTAGAAGGGACCTGCACTTAAGGATCGTTTTCTGTGTGCCCGACACAGTGGCAGCTCCTCTGCAGCTATCCTCCGGCAAGGTGGGGGCTACTATCCCCATTGTGCAGTTGGAGAAACTGAGGCTCAGCAAAGTTGCATAACTGGCTTAGCATGCATACACATGCAGCTGGGCTAAGATTTCAATAGTACTGCTACAACTTCCCACCCTGATAAGGAAAAGTAAAACCAGGGGACAGGGAGAAGTGTGGGTACTGGTCCTGGGATGGGGTGAGACAAGGAACAAGGAGGCTGCTTCACAGAGAGATCTAGGGCCCTGGTCCAGGGGAGCAGTCCAAGTACAGAGCAAGGTACAGGGTGTGTGGTATGACCTTGGATGGTGGAGTAGCCTTTGGGCTGTGTCTTGTGATTGAAAAGAAACCAAGGGGCCAGGACATCTCAATTTGGTCCTCACATACCTGTCAGGATGTTGTATTGAGGCTGAGACTGGGGAGGGGGCATAATATATCCCAAATGGGGTGCACTCAGGAGTACCCAAGGTAATTCCTTGCCATATGGGGAAGCACATTGGAATTTTTATAGTTTCAAAATAATGTTTTGTGTTTTTGTGTATATGTGAATTGCTTCTAATATATGCAGTAAGTTCAGTAGGTCAGTTACAATAATTCATAAGAAAAAGCCCACGTCTTTTTCTTATTTATTGTTAAATTGTTAAAGATGTCTTTATTCTATGTGTATGTTTTGCCTTGCATATACATCTGCATACCAGAAGAGAACATCAGATTCTATAGGACTGTTATAGATGGTTGAGAACTGCCATGTGGGTCCTGGGAATTGAACTCGGGACCTCTGGACGAGCAGCCAGTGCTCTTAACCACTGAGCCTTCTCTCCAGCCCTCTCCTATCCTTTTTTACACTGATGTTTCCAGCCTTCTTTTTCCTGAGTGGTACAGCAAATAGAAAAAGTTTCCAGAACAAGCAAGCTCTGGGGAGCTGTAGGTAGATGTGTGTCCATACCTCTGTCCTGTGTGTCCCGAGTGTGGGTGCATAGACTGGGCATAGCCCTGGTGGCTCCTTCTGGCTAACACAGGAAATATTGCACCCCTCCAAGGATGGTCTTCTGGAAATTCACATCTGCTTAGGTTTTTTTTTTTCCCTCTCTGTGCCTTGATTCTCAAAGCTGTGGCCTGAACATCTGCCACAGGAGACAACCATAGCCAGGGAAGCAGTGCCTGCACCTTGTGACTTTCGAGAAAGACAGAAGCAATACAGACCTGGGATCAGAAGGAAGCATTCTTCCCGGGGGTGGTGTGTCCCCTAAAACTGCAGCGAGAAGCTTGGTAGACTCTGAAACCTTCTTCTAATCTGGGCCTGGATGGCTTTGGGCTCAGTTTAGAGCAATATTACTTAAGGGTACATTCATAAAAGAATTCGTAATAGAATGTTCCCTTAGGTCTATTCTATTCTATTCTGTTCTATTCTATTCTATAACCATACCATTAGAACAGCTGCTTCATCCCTGGGACACATATCTCCCCGGCCTCCACTCCAGGACATTAGGCTCCTTGTCTATTTCAGGATCACGGAAACAGGCACCTTGTCTTGAACAAACAGAGACATTCTAGTCTTCATTGATAAATGTTTCCATCCACTCCAACCTCACAGGACTATTGTGTGAAACTGTCAATCAAATGTAAGATGTGTGTGTGAGGGGGTCAGACTGTAAGAACAATGAGTTGAACTCCACCAGGTGGATTTGAACTCAAATTATATCATATCCTTAGGATCCTAGATGGAATAGGTTTGCTGTATGTTGCTACGGGATAATAGTTGCTTGCTTGAGAAATAATTCATCATTTTGGGCGAAACCAAAATTTCTCTTCCCTCCCCAACTAAATGCAAATAGTTAAGCGATTCTCTGAGCAGAGGTGTGTAGCAGGTTTTTTCTTTTGGGTCACCAACCAGCTCCCAAACCATGACACAGAGATTTATTAGTTTTGAATGCTCAGCCTTAGCTTAGCTTTTATTTTAATCTGTTTCTCTTTATCTACATTTTGCCTCAGGACTTTTTACCTTTCTTTCTGTATATCTTACTTTCCTGCTGTCTCCATGTCTGGTTGTCGGCTGCCTGGCTTCTGGCCCCCGTGTGTCCCTCTCTTTCTTTCTGTTCTCTTATCTCTCTTTTGCCTAGATTTTTCCTCCTATTTATTCTCTCTGCCTGCAGTTATTGGCCGTTCAGCTTTTTATTAGACCAATCAGGTGCCTTAGGTAGGCAAGGTGAAACAAACGCAACACATCTTTACAACACAAACAAATGTAAGACATCTTTACATAGTTAACAGAGGCAGCAGAAACAAAAGTAACACACCTTCACATAGTCAAAGTAACATTCTGCAGCATAAATAAATGTAACACATCTTTGCCTAGTTAAAGTACTGTTCCACAGCAGAGGTGAGTGGTTGAGAGCTGGTGTAGTCTCGGCAATGGAAGGGAGGAGACCTATTGTCCTGAGTTCAATTAGGAAGTTCTAGTCTAACTACAGAGGTTTGGAGTGCTCTGGGAAGCATTTTTCCTGACAGAAGCCTGTAGTTCCAATCACTACCATCTGGGGTCGCCACAAAGCTTTCTTCTCCTTCCTTAGTAATATGGTCAGCTTCTTAACATGGCTTTTTAGCATTTTGACCATCTCTGACTTTTCCTTGTATCTATTCCCAACTTTTACCCTTTGTGAACAGAGTCTGCTCGGATCACATCTAGGGATGGATGCTCAAGTTAACTCATTTTCGAGATTTCCAAGCAAGTTTCCAGGACGCAAACCATTTCTGATCTTAGGAGCCCAGTTAGCAAGGGAGAGAAATGGCCTGGCTGTCAACTTTGCACATATTCCAGAGGGCAGCAAGGGGGAGTAGGGGACTCCCAACTTAGGGAAATACCCGGGTCGCACAGACTGAATGAATGCTGTTTTCCACATCGCAGCCACCAATAGTTAGAGGCTGTGCAGTATCATTTACTAGCAGGTCTGGGTGGAGCCAGAAGCTGAGAAAGGCGGGCTAATGGGCTTAACCCTTTCTTTTCTTTTCTTTTTTTCTTTCTTTTTTCTTTTTGTGTCAGAGATAAAACCCAGGGCCTCCTGCATGCTCTACCGATCAATGGCGCCCCCACCGCTACTGACGTGTTGAAAATTGGACTCCGGAAGAAGAGAGTGTTACTTTGGTCCTTCTTCTACAGACAGAAGCATGGACCAACTTCGTGCTTCAAGGCCTAAATTAGGGTCTTGGTCCCCTTCTTGAAGACACAGCCCTTTAATATATTTTTTTTGGTCCAAATTTTCTTGGAAGCCCGGTATACAGGTATTTGCCATCTGAATGTTTAACGGCACCCCCGCCCCCAGGATGAGCCCCGACGGGAGTTAGTGTCCCAATGTCTCATTCCTTTTCCAAACTGAATCAGGAAAGTGTGCGTGGAACCAGAATTCTGGACGAAGCGAGTGTGTGTGTGTGTGTGTGTGTGTGTGTGTGTGATGTTTTTCCATCATTGCCCTTTTAAAGATTTCCTGGGCCCCAAGTGACACTCACTGGTGCGTCTCCGAGTTGGGGGGTGGGGAGGTCGTGGTCTTTGAGGTCTGCTAACCACTACCACCCCGCCCACCCGCCTGCTGCTGTGAGATTACTTTACAGTGGTCGGGAGGTTGCTGTGTCCCTTCCGCGTCCCAGCCCTCTTCTGTCTCCGCCCCTTCGCGCCTAGGCAGCCTTGCCGCTTTAAGAGCGCGACTAGCGATTGACAAGCAATAACCGTGGAGCGCCCGGCTGCACGGAGTCACCAGGAGCTAGGGGCTCCCCAAGACGCAGGTAGGTATCCCCAGGCCTCTGGGCCAGCATCCACCTCAGGATCCCTGCCTCCTTTTCGACCTGGCACTGCACTTGGGAACCTAATTCTCCAGGTCCAAACTCCCGCGCCCCCTTCCCAAGCCGATCCCCTCCCTCTCCAGCCGCAGCCCCCGGTGCTCTCTCTTTCTCAGGGATGCGGGTGAGGAGAACTGAATCCCTCATTCCACGGATGCTGGTTTCCATTCCAGTAGTAAGGGCTCCAGAGGGACACAGGGCGCAGGGGTGCTGAGCTGAGGGGAGCCCAGGTATTGGCGCGGCCTCTCGGGGTCTGTGCAGGGTTTGGGGGAGACTTCGGATCCCGGCATTACGTAAGAGCCGTGCTGCCGGCGCTTCCGGCCGTGGGGGAGCTAGACTGAGACTGTGCTGGGTCCCTTGGCACCCTGCACCCCAAGAGGCCAACATTTCGACCTTCCTTGGGAGGGGGTCCTGGGAAGAGCCGCCCTGCTAACGCTGCAAGGGACAGGAGGTTGCCGGGTCTCAGGGGTCTGAAGCCTGGGGACTTCAGAGGGAATTCGTGCCAGAAGCGAGGAGCCAGGGTCAGAAAGTTAGGTCAACTAAGAGAATGGTGGGGAAATGAAGATTGGGGGTGGGGGGTGGGGTTGAGGTGGGGGGGTGGGAGAAGTCATTCAGTGACCTCATCCCCTGGTCTCTGCGGGCGCGCTAGCAAAGAGCCTTCTTTGATGGCTTGCAACACGCCCCCTCCTTCCTGGGTCCTAGCGCTCAGCGGCTTAGGACTGAATTGGAGGGGCGGGGGCGGTCTGATTGGGAGTGCGGGCACGTCCTCCTGCTCCCTAGACCCCATCCTCCGCTCCTAGTTACGTCCAGCCCTCCCCACAACCCTACCAGGCTCCAAAGTGCCTTTGTCAGGCGTTCCTCTTTCTCACCTCTCTGTGTCTGCACTGATGGAAGGGTGGGTGGGAGGCTAGAGGAAACCTCCCCCTTTGAAGCTGGCGGGCTTCACCTACGGACAGACACCCTGGGGGTGGGGAAAGATGGATAGCTTGGTGGCGGTGGAGGTGGGAGTGGGAGTGGGAGGGTACCTGGGCTTAGGCTTTTGGATGCTGAGGTGCTGGGTCCGTGATGACTGGGCCCGGGGACCTTGGCATGAAACTAGGCTAGCTTGCCTGGCACTGCCGTTCTCCTGTGGGCACAGCCGGCCCCTCCCTCTCAGAGACGTGGGTGGGGGTGGGGCACAGCGAGCCGACACCGTGGGAACCAACTCCTCAGGGAGCAAACCCGGGCTCACTGGGCAGGACTCCCGAGCCTAGGGTTTCTTATAGGCTCCTCTCTTGCTTCTTCCCTGTTCCCTTGCTCCGGGAAGAGTTACCCCGCAGCGAGCACCTCTACTACGAAACACGGCCTGAGCTATGAGAGAGTGCCCCCTGATCTCTAGGAAACAACAGGGGAGTTGGCACAAGGGACACTAGCTGGCACAGTGGAGCCTGGACATTTCTCCCGGTCAGTGGTGCTAGTGTGAGAGGGGTTCCCCTTCTCTCTCTCTCTCTGCAAGTTCAATGCTTCTGGAGAAGATCCAGGAGGAAAAGGAACTAGTCTACTCACCTTTGTGGTTTCTGCCTCCGGAGCTGAGGTCATTAGTTTAGGCTTGCGAGAAAGAGCAGAGAGGCATTCAGTAAAGTTAGTAACTGCTCATCATTTTGGATTCTTGGGTGGAGTGGTCCTGTGGCTCCCTTCCCCCCCTTGTTAGGGTGCAAAAGACTTTAGTCTTAAAGTGGGCACTGCCAACTGCTTCTCCCTACTCCCCCACCCTTGCTGTGAGCCACTGCCTCCTGTTGTCATGGCAACTAGGGAATTAGGGTTTTAGCCAGTAGCACAAGCCCAGGAAGGCAAGGGGAGGAAGAGTGGTGGGTCACCCCATTATCCTTTCCAGGGAGGATGAAGGAGCCACTCTCGGCTTGGGGAGACCCTGGGATGGGCAGTGGGGTTTCAGACTTCATGCCTGTTTATGGCTGCAGAACCCCTCCCTGCCCTGTCCCAATTCTGGATCTGGTAGATGAGAAGGGGGAGAGAGAGAGAGAGAAGCCAGAAGGACAGTGAGAAAGGAAAAAGAATTTCTGTCAGCTGGACACCAGTGTTCATGGGACACCCAAAGGTTCTAGGCCTGGGGCCTAGAGGTGAGTAATGGAGTCCGTTCTTGTTCTCATGGAGCTTCCCTTCTGGGGACACTTCCTGATTTTGGCTCCTATTCAGGACCCACTCACACTTAATCTTCTTCCAAAACCAGAAAGAAATACTACGTTTTGTTTGTTTGTTTTTGAGATGTTTCCCAGGCTGGCTCAAATCCCTGGGCTGAGGGGTCCTTCTGCCTTGACCTGAGCGGCTGGTACTACAGCACAGGTGGGCATCGGCATGCCCCGTGAGAAATACTTTTTCCTTAAGCGTCATAAAGCCTGGGTTTTCACTGTAGCTCTCCTACCAGCTGCGGGGCTTGGGGAAAACCGATTAGCCTTTGATCCTTCCTGTCTCTCCTGCCTCTGAGGAGCACGCTATCTGCTCTTCTTGCCTTCCAGGGCACTTGGGGTCACTCTGCTAATCCAACCCCCCATTCCTGGGCAATGCTCTCCTCCTCCTATGTGGCTGTTCTTGAAGAGGATGCCCTTCCTAGTATCTCATGTTCCTGGGCTTTGCCCTGTACCTTCTCATTCTCCTCTCACCCTCTCTAGGAGACTGACTCCAGAGTCCTCACTGACTGACCATGCCAGTTGCCGCCACGAACTCCGAGTCTGGTAAGAAGAGGGTGAAGCTGTCAGTCTACCTTAGTGGTTGGGGGGGGGGTGCAGCAGGAGGAGCTGGGTACTTTGTACTCCTCCCCAGTCATACCACACTCCAGAGATGGTGCACACTGCAGCTGGACAGGAATGGCAGGGAGATGCCCAGGATGTGGCTGAGGAATCTGGGATTTGGAGGATAGTACAGGTTGGAAGAATTGAGAAGACCATAGTACATTCTGCCTACCTGGAGGCTAGGGGGCAGGACAACTATGGTAGGTGTAAATAGAGAGACAACCCCCACCCCGGGTATGAACGCTTGCACAAAGTTCTGTGTTACAGCCTTAGAATACAGAGGCTGCAAAACCCAGGAGCCAGCTGGGGACTGGCTAGCCCGGACTTCTGAAAGCGTTGAAGGGACACTCAAAGGCTGTGAGAGGGGAGAACTCATTGCTGCGGAGGTGGCTGGTTGTTACGGCGGCTTTGACCTGTAGTCAGCCGGCCATCTCCCTTGGAGGACTTATTTCTTCTGAAATAGAGGGGCAGGATGGGATTGGCGGTTTTAATTTTGCTCCTGATGACCGCAGTGGGCCCCACCCACCTGCATTCATGCCCCAAAGTCCACACCCCACCCTAGTGGTTCCTAGACCCTTGAGTGTTTTCTGAGGCCCACCAAAATTAGGGTTCCTCTGAAAGGGCTCTGGCTACAGCTGTGAGATGCCCTGAGAAGGCCTGAGTTCTTCACAGTGGATCCTGCTGCTCCTTGGGCGACACATCCAGGTCCCCACTTTGGATAGAACAAACCCTTGTTCCTACCCTCTGAGAAAATGAAAATTGTTGTCATCCAGCTAGAACCTAAACTGTGACCCCTTTGTCGCATTCCCCCGCCCCGAAAGGCTCTTTCTCCATACTATGGAATGCCCCCAGCTTCTTGGAGGGCTCTTGTTTTTCTTCTGCCCCCCTGGTCTCTTCCCCTGCTCTAGTCTCCAGCTAGCCCGCTCTAAAGCTGCTTAGGAGTGAATGAGACCCATCCCTGAGCCTGTGATTAAAGGCTTCTCATCTGGGGCTGCCAAGTAAACCTATTAGCAGTGACCTGAGGGGCTGCTCCAGCTGCAGGCCACTTGGTGGGGGTACACAGGGCGTGGAGCCTGTGCCTATGAGTGTGGCCTGTTCTCCTAGATGGAGTGCTGTGGGCTGTTCATTGCGTCTATATCCAAAGGAAGAAGTACAGTATGCTCCCTTTCCCTAGCCAGCCCTCTGTGGACTTCTCAGCCTCAAAATCTAAGGAGGCATCCGGCCCCTTATCATTTGGTGGCCATTGTACTTCCCATGGGTCTGACAGAGACCCAGCTGCCCCTCATCTGAGGTCAGGCTCCCCTCCCATTCCCCCCCTCCCTCGCCACCCGCTTCCTGGGGGTCATCCCTGTTTTGGGCTCTGCAAAGGTGAAACTAGCAAGTTCCTTCTCCATCCCTTCCCCATAGATCAAAATGGCCCTTGTTATTATGGGAGGGCTCACCCTTACTTTAGTTAAGGAGAGTTTGGGAGCTATATGGGTGGTGTCACACACAGCATGGGAGTTTAGACATCCTGCGCTCACTTCCGGCCCCACTGTTTCTTCTTTCTTCACCAGGCTCACTCCTCTCCTTGAATCAAGGTGAGGATGTGGGCCTGCATTCAGATGGGGCTGTCGCTTTAAATATCTCTGCAGTCCCTGGGTTACCGTCCTTGTGTGTAATCCTGCCTGCTGCCATGACAACCAGGGGTGCAAGGCGACCTGGTGCCAGTCCTCTGGGAATGGCTGACTGGAGGTGGCGGCAACAGCAACAGTAGTGCCCTTGTAGTGGCCTCACGGGTACACATGCATTCACATGGAGTACAGGGTCGTCGCTAAGGCCCTTCCTCTTGCCCACTTTTATTCTTGCTGCGCCTTTTCCTTCCCCCAGCTCTAAGGTGCCTGGCTTGCTCCAGGGCATTATGCCTCACCTGATGGATAATGATGGCAAAAGGGAGAAGCAACTATTAAGCTAGAGTTAAGGGGCGGGTCCTTTACTGCTCCGTGGGTACCACCGTTCTGTCTCTCCCTCCACCCGCCGCCCACACCGTGCCCCAGTGGATGATGGCATTTGAGGCTAAGATACTTGCCTCTTGTCAAATGGTTTGACTGCCTTCCTGCACCTACCAGGGAGAGGAGCTAGAGCTGTTCTTGAAGGCTTCCTTCGGCTGAGAGAGTTGTTGTAAAAGCTAGCCTGGAGTGGGGGAGAGGGTGAAGGTCAGGGGCAGGTAGGAGTCAGCATCAGAAGCAGAGGAGGGAAATCCATATGACAGAGGTACGAAGGCAGACGGGAGTCAAGCTCTGCCCGTCACCTGGAATTTCTACACTGGCTGAAAGGGCCCAGTCCTGAGGGACTTACCCCAGACTCATCGCCACCTCCCCACCTGCACCGGGGACGGGGATCAGGCCAGTTTAGGATGACTCTCTCCTGCCACCTCCCTTCTCCCACCCATTACCGCCCCCTCCTCACCAGCAGGCGGGCTTTGGCCAATCAACCAGGAGGTCCAGGAGGCGGAGCCTTGCTATTGGCTGATCCTGCAGCGCTCTGAGAGTCCCGCCTTCTTTAGCTCAGCCCGCGTCTGGCTGGGAAGGCGCCGACCTCGCGGGAGACTGTTCCAGGATTGCTAAGGGGTCGCCATGGCCTGCAGCCCAGGCAGTGGGGCTTCCTTGGAGGGGATTTCCCTGGGCTCCTCTGAAGAGGCAGAGCTTCGCAGGGAAGGTAGGAAGAGGAGTGGGGAGAGATCAGGGGAGGGGTACTTACCCTTTAACTGACCCTCTCATAGTGGTCTCTGGGGCACCTGGACAGCGGTGCCCTTAGGGGAGATCTGGACGCCCACCGGCTAGAAGAGCTGATCTGGCAGAGGACATTACTCCCCCCGGCTCAGTCCCCCACCCTCAATAGCTGGCTGTCTGGGCAGTCAGTGAGCAGGTCCGGGGGACTGTGGACGTTTGGCAGACTGGGAAGGGCTCTGACTTGCCTTCTTTGAGAGCCCTGGAAGGACCTTGTAAGTCTCTGGTCCTTGCGAGTCCGGACCTGGAAAGGAAGGGTCTGGAGGCAGACTGGGCTGTGGTTTATAGAGAAGATGGGGAAGGGGAGCGGGGAAAGAAATGGGGCTCAGGAGCCCTAAGCCATCTTCTCCAAGCTCCTGTTTTAGGGCCCCCTCCTGCCCTCCCTCACTCTTTGGAGGTGGGGAGTTCTGACAAGATATTGGAGAGGTGACAGGGAGCCTATTTCCCCACTCCCCCTCCTCCAGGGCTTGGATGCTGTTATGCAGATGTAGGCGTGGGTGGCAGAGTAATGATACCCCCTGCCCATCTTTGCTCCCAGCTGGGCACACTGATTTTTTTCTCCCTTCCTTCCACCCCCTGGAGCTCCCTCCCACCTTCACCAGGAGTGAAGGCATCTTCTACCCCATTCTCAGAGACCTGTTTCAGGTGCACTGATGTCCTTGGCTGCATCTCATCCCAGGCTGATAGTGCTCAACCCTGGGGTGATGTGGTTTTTGACATCTATCCTTGGTAACCACGGCTATCCCTGGGTGCTTGTTTCTCCAGCCCCTGCTGTTTTTCCAGGCTTCTGTTTTGACTTTTTTTTAAAAAAAATCATGCATTAATTTCTAAATAATGATATCTCTTAGAGAACTGTGCTGTATCACACTAAGCTAGTGGTATGTGACTTAGACTGGTGCTGCATTGACCCTGGCCTTTGGCAATGCTGCCTGCTTGGGTATGCTTGGACTCCAGGACCCCCTCCAAGCACTGTCTTACCCCTGGGCCTGCCAGCTACAGGTGGTTGCGTCCTCATGCTTCGACCCAGCTAGAAGTTGAGTGGGATGTCTGGGTCTTTGGTGCTGGGCAGAATCTGGAAAAGGGACACCTGTCCCTGCTCCTTGGTCTGGTTCCTGCTGCTGGGAGCCTCCTACTTTCCCAGGCTGGAATTGCTTAGGGTGGAAAAAAGGTCAAGAAAACTATTGCCTGTCCCCAGGATCTCTGCCTGAGAGTCTGTGAGAAGAGAGTAGAGAGTGCTGTTGGGAGACTTCTATGGGGCTGGAGATGGGAGGGTTTGTGCTGGATTTTCATCTTCTGTGTCCAGCTGATACTTAGCATCTCACTGCCCCTCCCCCAGCCATGCAGCAAGTCTTGGACAACCTGGGATCCCTCCCCAACGCCACCGGAGCTGCAGAACTGGACCTGATCTTCCTTCGAGGCATTATGGAAAGTCCCATAGTCAGATCCCTGGCCAAGGTATGGTGTATCAGGGAGGTGGGTCGTGGGAACCCTAGGAATGGGGCACATGATGGAAGGAGCCACCTGAAAGGGTGTGGAAGGATATCATACCTGGGTGATGAACCTCAGGGTGCAGGTAGATGAACCTTGCTGTACCTGGCTGCACCTGGCTGCATGTGGCTGTACCTGGCTGGTGAGAGGTGGCAAGGGGAACATCTGATTGAGAGAAGAGCTTGCCTGGGTGTTGGAATCTCCAGATTGGTCCTGCCCACTTCTCTGCCTTTGTGTGTTTGTGCATGTGTGCCAGGTGGGAGGCAGACTCAGGAAAAGAGAAAATTATGAGAATTTCGTAATGGCACTTTAGAAGCCGATGCACACACGCTTGGGGGAGCATCAAGGACAGGACCTACCTGAGCCTCTGGGGGTAGAGGAGGCCTAGAGGGGGAGGGGCTAGTCTGAGTATGGAGGATGCAGAGAGGGGCAGGCATCTTGGACCTGCAGGAGGAGAGCTTGGGCAGAAGCATCAAAGTGAGAGGTATTTGGAAGTGTGAAGCTGGGGCCTCAGGTGCCAGACAAGGATAGTGAGCTGTGAAGATGATGGCAGGTTGTGGAGGGCACCGAGGGCCATGCCTGGGGGCTCAGATATTGTTCAAGTATCAAGCAAGCTTCGTACATTTTAGGCAAGAAGGGACAGTGACATAGGTGTTTGGGAGCCCTCCCCCACCCCCCCCTGCAGCCACATGGAGGATTGTATGAAGGGTCTCAGAGACCAGTTAAAGATCACGTGGTAGTTAGAGCTAGGAGGAGCATGGTGCTGAGATGGTATGGGATAGGACATGAGGAACCCAAGGTTCCTCTGTAAGTGGGGGAGGCTGGTGTTGACTTTAGTGGAGAGCGTGCAACAGTAAGAGAAGGAATCTTCTCCTGTGGTGAAGGGGGCGCTCCTGGTGGGGGGGGAAGGAGGTGCTGGGGTGGAGGAGGTGCTCCTGGGGAGAAGCAGGTGCTGGGGGGGGTGCTTCTGGGCCCGGTTGAAGGCAAGGCTGGGCATGCTGGAAGTCAGGCTGATCACTAGGAAATCTGAGGAAAGGCAGGCATTCCTCTCCTGGGATTCAAAGGTCAAGGTCCAAACAGGGGATCAGAAGCAAAGTTTGCCCAATCACTGAAGGGGAGAGGATCTAGTGAACAGGGACCCAGACAGTCAGACCATGGTAGGCACTGACTTCCCAGGGTGGGATGACTCAATCCCTCCCCCATGAGGAGGAGGAAGGTGGGCTTTTGATCCAGGGCTCAGAGGTAGGCGGAGCCAAGAAAGAAGCCTAAGATTGAAAAAACATGGCCTTGGGGTCCTGGTTGGGAGGAAACAAAGAGGCGGGGAGGAAACCCACCTGGAGGTTGGGGGGGGTCTCTGAGATTGCACCATAGCTGGGGAGTGGTGAGGGCATAGAGAGGGAAGAGAAGGCCAAGGTCAGAGAGGGAGGTAGGAAGTGGAATGCTTCCAAGGAGGACATTCTGGCGGCTGGCATGACCATACAGGGTGTGGCTGCTACAGAGAAGTCTGTTGTCCAGGGGCTTTGAAGAGATCCTGGAGGGGAAGGCTGTAGTGAGGTGGGCATAGCTACATGCACCTGGGAATCAGAGCCAACGGCAGGTGACGTGGGAACGAGACTCAGGCAGTCAGCAGGGTCTTCAGAAATGAATGGTGGGGAGGAATTGTAGGACAGAGAGGCAGTGTAGAGGGCGGTGGGGCTTCCTTTGCCTTTTCTTTGTGTGTATGTGTGTGTGCACATGTGTACATATGTTTATGTGTGTGTGTGTGTGTGTGTGTGTGTGTGTGTGTGTGTGTGTATGTAACCCAGAGGTTGAAGCTGGGTGTCTTCCTCAATCATTTTTCTACCTTACTTTTTGAGACAGAATTTCTCATTGAATTTGGAGGTCACCTATTGGGTAGACTAGCTGAACAGCAAACCAGGGACTCTTCACAGCCTGACTTTTACCTGGGTGCTGGAGACCCAAGTTAGGACCTCATCCTTGTCCAACAAGCACTTTACTAATCGAGCCATCTCTCCAGCCCCAGGTAGTAGGTTTTCTCTAGAGCCTTGTGGGAATTCTGTCATAGGATGGTGGTAGCCTTGGTGTAGGGTGTGGGGCGATTGGGTCCTGCTGGAGGAAGGGAGATGCTATGTTTCAGGAACACACATGGCATATACTATTGCCCATGTACACACGAAGCTGAGGCAGGAGTACTATGGTAGCTTGGGTGACATAGTAAAACCCTGCAAAAAGACCATAGGAACCCAGCGTGGTGATTTATTTGTTTAATCCCAGCACTTGGGTTGTAGAGGCGTGAGCAGCAGGGGAGTTCAAGGTCAGCCTCAGAGAGCTTGAGGTCCTTCTGGGCTTCCAGGAAATGCTGGATCCAGAAACCACAAAAAGTAAACATTCAAAGCGAACAGAAACAATCAAAACACAGAAAAGAGCAGATGATTAAAAAGTCTGAGAAATTCTGAGGAAGAGAAAAGATGATTGGAGGGTACAAAGAGAAAGGGAGGTTGCTTTTTGCATTCTGTGGTCATTGAAGATAGCTATTTTTTCTTTTTAAATTTAAAGCAAGAACTCACACATGTCTGTAGTGCTAGCTACTGTGGAGACTGAGGCAGGAGGATTGCTTGAGCCTAGTGTAGGGCAAGTCTGGACAACACAGAGAGACCCTGTCTCTTAGATGATGAGGGAGGAATTATTTGTGTTCAAATGTTGAGCACATAAGCCCCAGGCAGGCAGGAAGGTTTAAGGTTTGTCTGCCTGGATGACCGTAGTGTCTTCAGAGCCTAAAGCAGTGTTAGGCACATAATTGGTTTTTACTGAATATTTGTTTAGTGGATAAATAGAAAAGACTGAAAAAAACAATGTAACTACTCCTTCAACCCCCATCTCCATAACATTAATACCGAGTCTGTTATTTTTGGCTTTCTTTTTAAAGCCCTTTAAAAATATATGTGTTTTTTTTTATGTGTATGTGTGTTTGTGCATGGGTGTCTCCAGGAGCCAGAAGAGGGCATTAGATCGCCAAAGCTGAAGTTGCAGGGTTTGTGAACTGTTTGATGTAGGTGCTGGGAACCGAGCTTGGGTCCCTCAGCGAAGCAAGAAGTGCTCTTAACTGCCAAGCCCTCTCTCCAACTCTCACTCGTTCCACTGAAGAAATAAAAATGTTGTTTGTTAAATTCCCTCCCCTCCCCCTTCTTCATTTCTACTGCTGTCCCTTCCCAAGGGTAAACACGGGTGATGTCATTTCCCAGAATGCTTGCTATCCTTATCTATATATGGATTAACCACTAATAATATGCCCTTGTTATCCATGCCTTTAAGTTGCCCATAAATGGAATGATAGTATAATCTGCTTCTGTCTTTGAGATTTCTAGTTCATGTAGGGAGTAAAGTTATTGATCTAAGCATAGGTAAAGATGGTGAGATTCATTGAACTATTGTGTTCCAATTGTGACGTCTGTTGAGTGCAGAGTCTAGTGTCTCCCTTCTGGGAGATGAGGGTGGTGGAGTGGATTTTGCCCTGAAAAGGACAGCACTGATGAAAATGTCCTGATATCTTATGCACAATGTGAATGTTTCTCTGGGGTGGACATGGCAACGGAAGGGCTGAATGCATGAAGTTTTGAACTTCAACATCTGTAACCTTCCAAAGCTGGATTCAGGGTTGTATGAATTAAGCCACATCTGTGGGTCACAGGGTCAGGGCTGGGTGGTATCCAGCTTCCTTCAAAGTGTGACTTCCCTCAGTAACACTCATTCCCCAATGGCCTTGCCCAAGCACTTCATAGATTTCCAGAAATTGCTGGCTCTGTCTCTCATTCATTCCCTCATTCATTCATTCTTCCAGTCATCTATTCAACAGCTATTGCTTGGATTCCCAGCATGATTAAAGATCCAGCTGCAGCCGGTGGGTGGTGGCGCACACCTTTAATCCCAGCACTCAGGAAGCAGAGGCAGGCAGGTCTTTGTGAGTTCGAGGCCAGCCTGGTCTACAAGAGCTAGTTCCAGAACAAGCTTCAAAGCTACAGAGAAACCCTCAGAACCCCAAAGGGATTTGGGTTAAACTCTTTGTGGCCGTTAGTAACCTGGCTTAGTAACCTGCCTCCTTCCTTTGCCTTTGAGGAGTTGGGCTTGATTTTTTGTCTCTGAGAATATGATAGGCATTTGGGGGGCAGGTCTGGGATGGGTAGAGCTGGGGCCGAGGATGGTGTGCCTGAGGAAGCAAACCCAGGGAATTAAAGGTTCTGAGGGCAAGTGTGGCAGGCAGCTCCTAAGTCCAAGCGTTGGCCGTAGATAGCAGGTGCCTGGCATCTGGGAGGGCTGCCATGGGTCCAGCAACAGGTGCTTCAGAGGCAGCTAACGCCAAGGTGAACAGTCCAAGGCGAATGGCACTTAGGAACCGGTTAGTTGCTAACAGCAGGCTCGCCTGCCTGCAGGGTGGCATGGGAAGATGGTATTGGAACTAGTCCACATGATGAAGAGCAAAGAGCAGTGGCTAAAGGCAGAGGCCCCCCCTCACTGACTGACTTTTGGGGTGTCCCTTATTCTGACTCACGATTTCAGAGCAGTCAGTCTGTCCTGGCAGAGAAAGTGTGGCAGTATGAACATACGATGGAGACTCAGCAAGTCACTGTGGACCAGGAACCAGGGAATAGCTAGAACTAGGGGCGGGGCTGTAGCTTTCATTGAACTGTTTCTAGTGTCTTACTTCTGCCAGATAGGTAGATCTAAGGAACCTCCTAACAGTTCCACAGCCCTCTTAAGCACTGCTACCAGCTAGGGAATAAGCTTTCAAAAACATGAACCCATGGGGGTGCCTTTCAGGTTCATACCCTGTGGTGCCGTAGTCTGTTGATCTCTGAGCATCAGCTGTTTCTCTGAGAAGTGAGGAGAGGCACACCTGTCTGGTAAGAGAGCCAAACGGATGTGGCGGTGGCTATGGATATGGAGGTATCCCTGTGGTATAGTCTTCCGTC